ATACAAGATTTTTCCTATTAGTACATATTCCAATTAGTATATATATATAAATACTATATGCTTATATAAACTATAAAAATATATTAAAATATATATTTATATTTATTTATATATTTTAAAATATACTACTAAATACTATAGGCATATAGTATTTACATTAATACTAATATTATTCCCCCCTGGGAGAAGACAATTCACACATAAATACTGCACATACTCTTCTGCAATTTGTTCCTCTAGCTCAACACTATATTTTGCAGATTTATCTGTGGTGCTTCTCTCAGCCCTGGCTCATGCACATTAACTGCTCTATCATATTCCTTTGTATTAATTTATTTGTGCATTTTCCCTTGATGAATGTTGGCTATCTCTAACTTTTCAGAAATTCAGCAACAAACACTCCTAAGCTTGTCCCCCACTCTGGAACATTCTCCAGGGCCAAGGCTTTCAGAATGACCTGACTGCCACCCACTATCAGAAATGATTTCTACACTGGGACCCAGTGTAACCCCCCCCCACACACACACACACACACACTCACACACAGGCACAGACACACACCAAAGTTCTGAAAAATAATACTCTGACTACATTTTCAAAAGCATTCTCTTAATTTCTATCATAATGCTCTTCATCAGGTTGATGGAGTCCCATTCCTACTCTGCTAAGAGTTCTTAGGAAAGGCTGTTGAGTTTTGTCCAATTGTTTTTCTGCCCATTTAAGATGATCCTAGGGTTTTAAAATTCCGTCCATCAGGTGGAGTGGGGTGTGGATTTCTGAGATTGAGCCAACCTTGCATTCCTGGGATCGGCTTTGCCTGGCTACAAGGCAATGCACTTCATGCCAAGCTGCCAGGTCTGAGGGCACTGTCCTTGGAAGACTGTCCTCATGCCTAATACCAACTGCAAGAGTGCAGGTCCCCAAGGCCTTCCTCACTTCCTACCAGCTGGCTACAAATTGGGGGGCTCCCACAGACTCCTTCAGGTCTGATTATTCAGTAAAATCAAAATTCAGGAAAGCATTCTACTCACAATTACTGTCTTAATTTAACAAAAAACAGAAGTCAGAAAGAACCGGAAGAAGAGACACTGCACAAAGTCTGGGAGGGTTCCAGTCGTAAAGCTTCCTTGTTCTGAGGGACACATTACTCTCTGGGCATCAGAGTGTGACAATGCTTAGAGGACTGGAAAATGGGTAATGTCCCCAAGCCTCGGGGTCCTTCTTGGCTCCTTCATGCAGACAAGATGGACTGAGTCACTGCCACGTGGCTGACCTCAGTCTCTAGGCCCCTTCCTCCCCAGAAGATGCAGCTGATTTCATTTGACTTAAAGCCTCAACCCTCTAGTCACATACCTGGTCTTTCTGGTGTGGCCATTCTGAGTCACCCATTGGCAGAAACCATCAGTCGGGGTCTGAGATACCCACCACAAATAACAAAGGCACTCTTAGGGCTCCGGATGTAGCTCCACGGGACACCACTTGCCTGGCACGCATGAGGCCCATCCCCAGCACAGCGAAGGAAGAAGAGAAAAAGAAATTCTGTTGAGTGGGGGTGTGTCTTTGTGGTAGAGCAGTGCTTACCTCATACGCATGAGGTCCTGGTTTCTGTCCCCTGCACCAAAAAAAAGAAAGAAAAGAAAGGGAAAAAAGAATTGAAAAGAAAAAAGATGCTATCTTTTAGAAAATTCCAGAGTAGAGGTATCACCCAGAAGCCAAGAACAAAGAGAAGCTGAATTCTTCCTTCTGCAGATGTGTTATCCTTTCTAATGTAGCTAAATTTAATTTGCTATTCTGTGTTAAGAACTCCAAATCTATGCTCCTGAGGAATATTAATCTGCACTGTGGTAGATTTTTGACACATACTTTTAATCAAATTTTAAAAGCTTCCTTCTGGTCCCAGTTTGCTAAGTATATTTGACTTTAGTCAGATGCTTTTTCTGCATCTATGAGGATGACGGTATAGTTATTTTCTTTAATTGGTTAATATGATGAATTCTATTATGAGAACTTCTGGTGTTGAGCAATTTCCATTCTAGAAAAATAATTTTTAATGTCATGTAAGCTTTTCTTTTATTGAACATGATCCATTTTAATATCACAAATACTCCTTTTTAAAAGTGAAACTACTTCTCTACATTTGCAAATGCAAATCCTTTTGGCATTGTGTTCCAGGAGCATTTATATGCTTCTGAAAATATCAAATTGAAACCTTATAGAAAATGCAGTTCTCCTATCCACCATTCCTCTTTTTTCTTCCTTAACCCTCCCTGAAGTTATAACTCTTAAGAACCGAGGTGGCCGGGGCTGTAGCTCAGTGGCAGAGCACTTGCCTAGCCCTGGGGAGGCACTGGGTTTAATCCTCGGCACCTCTTAAAAATAAATAAAGAAAAGGCATGTTGTCCATCTACAACTACAAAAAAATTACTCAAATAAATAGAATTTGGTTTGCTTCCTAAGAGGGACTTTCTTTGCATTTATAAACTGTAACATTTTAAATTTTAATAGAACATGCCTATACCCACATGTATGTACATGCTCCACGGTTCAAATCATACAAGTGTAATTCTGCTTTGTCATCTGTAATTTGTTCTGAATTTTTTTCCATGTTGTCACAAGTACACGTGTCCTCATTCTAATAACTTGGCTGTATTATGTCATATGAGAAGACAACCATTCCTCCAGCTACCCTCGAACTTCTCCAGGTAGAAATGAGCGACACTGCTGGTTCTTAATGTATACACGTTTGTTGTTATTTTAACAAATGCTATCAAATCGCTCACCAAAGTGGCTATCCCAGAGCCTTCAATGCACCGGTTGACCTTTCCTCAAGTCCACACATACTCTGGCGAGTTGCTGTGACCTTGATGGAGCAAGGCACAGTCTCTCTCCAAGCCCCCAGTGACTCCATCTGCAGGAGATGGCAGTTGGGTGGCCCCCATCAGTGCCTGAGATGGTGTAATGATAGGTTTGCAGCCTCTGAGTGGGTCGGGAATGACTGCCCTAGAGGAAACCCTGAGAGGAGGAGGGTGCATCTGGCAGTCAAGCTGAAGGCAGGCAATTTAGAAGCACTTGGTCCTCATCTCAGCTCCTCCATTAGCACAGTGACAATTTATCTGGTGCTTTAATGCAAAAGTCCCCTCTGGAAGGCCTGAACACCCTGTTCCAGCAGAGCTCACCTATTAAGGTCACCAAGCTTGACAGAGGACTGGGTCATTCTCATTTTCTGAAACTCCCAGCAAATTAAAATAATAATAATAATAAGGCCAGCAGGGTTAGCAAAACTGTGTGTATCATATTGCCACGGAACAAATAAATACTCTCAGCAAATACAGAGCAACATAATTGCACTGGTCAAAGATAATTATAGGATTTACAGACGATATTAATTCATAATGTAGTACAGATGGTATGGTCCAGGAATGGAATGCACATTTACCACTATATGAAAAATAGCTTTCTTTTCCAAGTCTACCATGGTGATGCTGTGCCTGAATGTTTAAGTGCCCTAGGAAAAGGCTAAATTTGAGCAACTTTCTAAATGTGCAACAGGACATTTACTTTTCCATCCTCCCCGGGTTCAACCACTCTGGGCAGACAGGAAAGAGAGACAGTCTGTTTGACCTTTCTCAGTCCCATACCTGTGTTGAGGACCCACATTCTGAGCAAATGTGAGTGCATTTTATAGTTTTAATCTATGCCTTTGGGTCTATTTTAGCAGAGTGAAAGAGAAAAAAAAAAACGTTCTTCTGCCTTTGGAGTTGTGAAAAGGCAGAGATGACAGAGATGAGGTATGTTCTGGGACATGGAGGAGATTCTGCAACGTGGTGGAGATGGGTTCTGGGAAAGGACAGAGGTGTGTGTCCAAGACAATTTCAGGACTTCAAGACAATATTAATTCATATTCATATTCTGAGACAGGAAGTGGGTGGATTCTAGGCCACCCCCCCCCTTGAGGTAGATACTTAAGTCAAGTACCCGAGGGGGTCCTGGGACCGGGTTGAGAGGTGGATCCTGGTCAGAATGAGGATGATTCTGGGCCATGAGAGAAATGAATTCGGGGACATGGAAGCAGTCGGTTCTAGGACAGGGACAGATGGATTGTGGGCAGGCCAGCCCACTCTTGCTCCCAGAACCCACCCATGCATTGTTCCCCTGGAACCCAAGCCACATCCCATAGACACTCTTGGCTTAATCTCTCCCACAGGCCTCGGCTCAAACCTGGCATCTCGGAGCGGCCTCCCTGCCCCCTCCCCATTAGGTCTGCCCCGACCCTGCCCTGCCCAGCACTGCGCAGCGGGGAGGACTGTACATTTGGAGCTGTAACAGCGGGTCCCGTGTCTACTCGCCGCTAGACCAGGACTCCCTGTGGGCAGGGGCCGTCTGAACAGCGTCGCGCAGAGCTCAGGGCCAGGCACCGAGGTTCCCCGGCTAACGCGTTTTCCATCAGACGAGGATCCTGTTTGATTTGCGATTTCATGCCTGGTGGCCGGGGCCTCAGAAGTCTATGTTGAGTCAATCAATAAAGGAAAGCAGGGCAAGGGGGCGGGGGCGGAGGGGAGTAAAAGAGAATGCAAAGGAGGGAAGGCAGGAGGGAGGCGCTCGGAGAGCTCGGGAGCCCGCGGGAGGGTGAGGGAGACGGGCAGAGCCCGGAGGGCGGGCGACACGGCGCACGGGGACCTGATGAATGACTGTCGCCGCGATCGCCGGCGCGCACCCGGGCCTGGGCAAGCTGTGCGGCTGGGTGTGCAGGGGAAGGACCCTCCGGGGAAGCCCGGGCGCCCGGGGCGCGGCGCGGCAGGTGCACGTGCCGGGGTCCCGGCCCCGCCTGCCCCGCCCGCGCCCCTCCCCGCGGCCCGCCGCGCGCGGCATTGTGGGAGTTGTGGTCCTCGCGGCCCCGCGGAGCGCAGCGCGGCGTCGGCACCGGCGGGGGCACCGGCTCTGCTCGGCTCGGCTCGGCTGGGCTCCGGCGGCGTGGGCCGGGCAGCTGCCGGGCGGTGGCCCCGCGGCGCGGGCAGGGGGTGTCCGCGTGTCAGCGCCCTCGGGCGGCCGCGTTGTTGCCTGTGCCAGCAGCCGCCCCCGCCGCCCGCGCGCCCAGGCGCAGGTAAGCGGCGTCTCCGGGGCTGCGGGGCGGGAGGGCGGCGCGGCCCGGCCGACCCCGGGTCGGGGCTTGGAGGCGCGGGCCGGGCGGTCAGGCTCGCGGTCTCCGCGCTTGGCGCTGCCGCCGAGGATGCTCTCGGACGTCTCGCCCGCATCCCGGCTCGGCTCAGGGGCCCTGCGGCCAGCGCTCGCTACGTGCCGAGCCGCCGCCGTGACGGGGATCGCGGCCGACTGGGCATCACCCTCCTCCTCCGCCTCCCCCTCCCCCTCCCCGCCTGGTCGCAGTCCCCTCCCCCATCTCCCTCCTCCCCCGGGAACCCCGGCTCCTCGCCTCCTCTCCGCCTCTCCCAGCCCTCAGCATCACCCGCTTCCCACATTCCCCGTGGTGACCCACCTCCCCTGTCCCATTAGCTGTAAGGCGCCATAAACCTCCTGCCCTCATCGCAGCCGATCGCCCACTTTTCCTGGCAATACTAACCTTCCCCGTCCCATCCCCCTCACCCCTGACTTCCTGGTGGTCACCATCTGCGTTAACTCATCCTGTGCCTGTCCCTCTTTCCCACTCTCCAGGCCAGTGGGTGCTGAGAACGCTGGCCCAGAGAGTGCGGGAGGGAAGAGCCCCACGGGAAGAGCTGGCCCCAGCGCAGCAGTCTGGCTCCGGAGTGGAGTGGTGAGGGTTGCATGCATCACACTCCTGGCCCAGCGCTGGGCTGCTCCTTTCTGGGTGTCCAGGGTGGCCTGGTCCTGAGGTGACCAGAAGCTCTTGAACACTGGGCAGCCCCTTGAACTGGCCATTTAAACTGGGGTAGCTGGGTCAGGCAGGGTCTGCAGGCGTTCATCCTGTCAGAAGTTACATTTGATTGGGCTTGAATTTGAACCCTATTCCCCAGAGCCAACTGACATTTAAGGTCTGAGTTTGCATGTTATTAAAGTGTGGAGCCCTGAGATGTTTCCATCCGTGGTGGGGACAGAAATGAAACATGCAAATGAACAGATGTGGGTAGAAGGCTGGAAGTTACTGTTGTCCCTGAGAGAAGGAGCTGTGTGCTCCTGTGGCGGTGGTGGCTGTCGCTGGGGGGTTGAATGTTTGGAGCAATTCATAAGAAACGACCACGTTTGAGGGTTTCTTTTAGTGTCACGGATAGGCTGTGGGCTTGTACATCCACCTCTGGTCTCCAGACTATTTTGGCTAAAAGTGATTGGCAGGTATAGAAAGTCCAAACTTCAGCTCTCAGGTTCATGGCCTCCTGAGGAGGGTCTGAAGCTGGGATTCAGGGCCTCAGGTCTTCACAGCTGTTGGTTGGCTGCTGCTTGGAGAGGGAGCATGGCTGACAGATGAGGCTTCCCGGAGGAGGGGGGGGGGGCAGCTGGGTGGCCAGTGGCGAGGTCCCTCATCATCTGCCCAGTTCTCTGTGTCTGCATTTTGTGGACTTAAACTTGAGTGATTCGCAGGGCTGCTGGGAACTAACACTTAACAGGTGTGTTAAATTATCGCCATCTCACTCTTAGAGCATCCAGGAAGAAACTGCTCCTGAGAGACAGAGTTTGAGAATTCCAATTAGGATATCAGCACAGTGGTTGGGGGAATCCTTTCCCTAAAAGCACTAGTTCTCTCCCTCCTGACAGCTTCACGCTGAATTTCAGGAATCCCGGGGTTCTGCCTGGGATGGCTGGAAACAAGACACCTTTCTTTAATCTGGGTTGAGAGGAAGGAGCTGCTGGTCTAGGAGAAGACAAGAGGGATGAGTCTCCAATAGTGGGACCCAGCCCTTCCCTGTTCTGCATCCGAGGAGCAATTGGGACCATGTTGGGGGGAGGGTAGCTTCTAACCTCCCCACACTGGTATTTTTCCTAGAAACATAAAAAAAATTCCCATGAATATTCAGAGTGTGTTTTTGACTTACTAAACATCATAGTCAAGTGATTCTTTATTCAACCAAAACTGGGAAGAAGCCAGTAGGCAGTTAATGAGCACCTAAGGTTTCCCTTAGCAAGCCTGGGGACAGAAAAATCACTTGCGATTTGGGTCTGAAGAGCGCCGGGGGTTCACATTGAGCTGTTGGGATCCAGTGGAGTCCACCTTTCACCACCCTCCTCTGGTTGGCTGGCCAGCCCTAGGGGGTGCCGCCCCTCCTGGCAGTCACCAGCACTTATTGGGTGTTCCCAGCGACACAGTCATAAGTACTTTGTGTGCGCCTTCAGCCGGAGAGAAGAATGTGAGCCCCATTTGTTGGTTACAGAAGCTGAGACTTGGCGAGGGCCGTGACCTGCCTGGGGTTGGCATCGACACTTGACCCTGCCCGTCTCCAGTTTGGGCTCATAACTTCTCTGCTGAGCAGCAAAAGTTTTCCAGGCCAAGTGTGTCCCCAGGGAAAGGGGAGGGTCCCATCTCCCCATTTGTTCAGCTGTCTTACTATATTCCCAGGAGAGAAGGGGAAAACACTAAGTGACGTCCCCAGGTGAGGAGAGGTAGAGGCTTGTTGAGGAACAGAGCGCTGTTGTTCCCAGCTGCTCAGAAAAAGCGAGGCAGAGAAAGGGATTCGCAGACACGCAGCCCAGGTCTGAGAGGGTCGCGCCGCTGGGCACCGGGGCCGTGATCCTGCCCTTGGGTTTCTGGATAACCGTGGTGTTGGCCACTGGCCCAACTGTAGGCAGGATGAGTGGCAAACCACAGCTTCCTGTTTGGGAAAGTGCAGGAAACTGAGTCACAGGCCTGGAGGGCTCCTACTTCCACGCCACCCCATTGCTCACTGACCATGTGGGTGAGCTCGAGCCTTGTCTCCAAGCTGGAAAGCAGAAGAAGCCCCGTGTCGGCCTCAGGTGTGACCCCGGGGCACCCACTTCCTTTCCCAAGTCGGTATTAGCCTAACCCTGGACTGAGGGCAGCCAGATTCAGTAAGAATGGTGATGTGCTTGGGAAGAGAAAGGCTAACCACTCAGACAGACCCTTTGTCATTGATGAGGTACTTTTGAAACCAGCTTCCTTTTCCCTTAAAGGCAGTAATGAAAGGGGAATAAAAGAAGTAAGATGGACACACGTAGGCTTAGAAGGCACATGGAGTTTGTATCCAGGCTCTGGCTGTGTGACTTGGGTGAGCTGTTTGATCTCTCTGGGCCTCAGTTTTCTCATCTCTAAAATGGGGACAGTAGCACCTCCTAGGGTGTCACAGAGTTACCAGGCCATCCCTGATGGATGTAGAGGAGCAACGGCTGGTCTTTTGGGAAATGGGGGTGCAGGTAAAATGAGGTAGGGTATACAAGACTGCCAAGTGTCCCCTACCATCAGGGGCCTTACAAAATGACCCAGAGCTTTACACTTGAAGAGTCTTTAATGTTTAACATTTATGCTGTGTTCTCTTTCTTTCATTCCAGGTTTGGATTTTAGAAAAAAAGTCTTCTGGCAGAGACCTGGAGCTTGCTAGTGTGATATAGACCACCTCCTGCCACCCTGCTGCAGTGACTTTCGCTGGGAGTGGAGTGGCAGGTCCAGCTGGCCAGCCTCAGCATTCATCGATGTCACCCGTGGCAGGCTGCGAGGAACAGTGGTGGCCATGCCCTCCTCAGCCCCAGCGGCTCCTTCTCCCCCACGCTAATCTGCATGGTGTGGGTGCCCCTGGGACCCCAGAGGACTGAACGTCTGATCTGGCTTCACACCCCCAGTAACAAGTCCCCCAAGATGTCGCTGGAGTGGCTGGTAGCCTGGGGCTGGTCACTGGACGGCCTCAGGGACTGCGTGGCCACCGGCATCCAATCGGTGCGGGACTGCGACAGCACGGCCGTGGTCACCGTAGCCTGCCTGCTGGTCCTGTTCGTGTGGTACTGTTACCACGTGGGCAGGGAGCAGCCCCGGCCCTACGTGTCGGTGAACTCGCTCATGCAGGGCGCCGAGGCGCACGGGCTGCAGAATGGCTTCGCCTACTGCCAGGCGCCCGAGTGCGTGCGCTGCACCCACGAGGGCCTCAACCAGAAGCTCTACCACAACCTGCAGGAGTACGCCAAGCGCTACTCGTGGTCCGGCATGGGCCGCATCCACAAGGGCATCCGCGAGCAGGGCCGCTACCTCAGCAGCCGGCCCTCCATCCAGAAGCCCGAGGTCTTCTTCCTGCCCGACCTGCCCACCTCGCCCTACTTCTCCCGGGACGCGCAGAAGCACGACGTGGAGCTGCTCGAGCGGAACTTCCAGACTGTCCTGTGCGAGTTCGAGGCCCTCTACAAGGCCTTCTCGAACTGCAGCCTCCCGCAGGGCTGGAAGCTCAACAGCACCCCCAGCGGGGAGTGGCTCACCTTTTACTTGGTCAATCAGGGGGTTTGCGTCCCCAGGAACTGCAGGAAGTGCCCACGGACGTACCGCTTGCTCGGAAGCCTTCGGACCTGTATTGGGAACAATGTTTTTGGAAATGCGTGCATCTCCGTGCTGAGCCCCGGGACTGTGATCACGGAGCACTACGGACCCACGAACATCCGCATCCGGTGCCACTTAGGTAGGTGGCGGGGACAGGGGTCCGCGGCGTGCACGCGTGTAGTACCGCGCCTCTGCCGTCGGAGAAAGGAAACACCAACACCGTAAGAGCTCAGAGAGCCAGGCGTGTGTTGGGTTCGCGGTGCTTTTACCGGAGGTGGATGATCTTGTGTTAGTAGTTGGGACAGCACCAGCTGAGTCCTGGAAGGAATTTGACGTCACTGTGAACCTAGGGTTTTGTTCTTGGTTTTTTTTGGCGGGGGGCGGTAGGGAGGATTGAGCCTAGAGGTGCTTAACCACTGAGCCGCATCCCCACCCCTTTTTAATTTTTGAGACAGGGTCTCTAAGTTGCTTAGGGCCTTGCTAGTTGCTAAGGCTGGTTTTGAAATTGTGATCCTCCTGTCTCAGCCTCCCATGTGGCTGGGATTACAGGTGTGTAAAGCTGCACCGGGTCTAGTATAAACCTAATTATTATTATTATTTATGGTTCTGGAAGTGGACTCAGGGCCTCAGATATGCTTAACACACACTCTAACATATGCCCTAAGCCAATGTCTGAGGGGCGCTCTGGCCAGAACTTTTTGCAGTGAGGAAGACGTTCTCCATCTTCATTGTCCAATACTAGGTCCTAACCACCTTCGCCCCAAGTGCTTGAACACAGCTGGAGTAACCGAAAGGTTCAATTTTTAATTTTTTTTGGTTTTGAGGTTCTGGGAACTGAACCAAGGGTGCTCTACCGCTAAGCCACACCCTCATCCCTTTTTATTTTTTATTTTGAGTCAGGGTCTTGCTAAGTTGCTGAGGCTGACCTTGAATCTGCGATCCTCCTGCCCCAGCCCCCCCCCCCCCCCGGGTGGCTGGGATTGCAGGTGTGCATCACTATGCCTGGCTTGATTTCAGTTTTAATGGCCACATTTGGCCAGTGGCTACTGTCTCAGCCAACATAGCTCTAGAGCCAAAAGCTATCATAAAGACCCTTGAGGTTCCTAGTGGCTTTAAGAACCTGTGAAAGGTACGTTGGTGCTTCCTGATCATCAAGGAGGATGTGAGGCCTGGTGGAGAGTCCTGGGAGGTGGAAGTGTGTGTGTTCAGCAGTGGGGCAGGGTCTGGGGCAGGCCACCTGCACTGCGGCCGTCCCATGAGCTGGCTGCATATTGCACCTCTCTGAGCCTCGGCTTCCTCAGGTAGAAAATGGAGGTCAAATGACGGTTCTCTGCAGAGCCAGCCTGACGCCCGGCCAGGGATGTGTATCACAGAGCCTCTGCCATCAAGGCAGGCCTAACCACAGCTTGGTGAGCGGGGTTCTCAGTCCCCAGGATGCCATGTTCCTGGTGGACTGTGACAGAGGCTGGCTCTGGGGCCATGGATCAGTCGCTAGCCTCCCAGGCTGGAGCGAGCCGAGATGGACAGCAGTAGCTTTAGGAAGGGACCACATGGCTTGGGCTTCAGAGGGGACAAGGAAAAGTGCAGTGGGGTTTCCTGAGTGTGCTCTGCAGGGGACCACGCTGGAGCTGCCTTGGGGAACCCCCTGCAGCAGCCCTACTCCCCCACCCTTGGGTGGGCACTCACTCTAGAAGACGCTGCTCCTAAACTCCAGAGAAGAAACGTCTAGACAGAGCCCTGGACGTGGTGGGGATTTCAAGAGCCAGGGCCGGGCAGGGGAGCTCCTGAGCCATTCTCAAGTCACGGTCAGCTGTGAGACTGGGTCTTCTTGGGCCCCAGAATCCCCCCTGCAAAATGGAGAAGTTGGACTTACCTCCCAGGATGGCCGAGAGGATTGAAGGAGTGACATCCTGCTTGGTCACTGGGACAGTGCCTGGCACACGTGGCTAAATGCTAGGTGGTAGCCGTCATGGTCAACCTGGTGTTGGAGGGTGTGAGAAGTGACCCGCAAGACGTGGTCACTGCCCTTGGGACATGGCGGATGAATGGCTTAGGGAACAAGCAGATATGAACCCAGGCCTGGCCCCCTTCCCGGTGCCCTTGGGCAGGCCCGGGGCTGAGCCTGTTGGCCCTCTGTGCTGGGCGGAGCCGCCTCCCTGCAGGGCTACCCTAGAGCAGCGGGCACACACCTTGGCAGGAGGGGCCAGGCAGGTCATCTGTGTGGCATGACGCTAAGCCAAGGGACGACGTGGTCAGTGAACCACTGGGCAGGGCTCCAGGCGCTCCGAGCTGAGCTGGCGCTGCAGACAGGCTCTGGGCAGGCGCGGGGTGGGGGGGACCTGACCCAAGGGCGGAGGGGGCCTGCCAGGCGGAGTGCGGGCGCAACCCTCCCTGGGGCTCGGGTCGCCATGGCCAGGTGAGCGGTGGGCCAGGCAGCCAGAGGCCTCAGGCCAGCTGGGCATCGGGCTGTTGAGGGGTGCTGGGGATGGGACCCAGGGCCGCGGGGGGAAGGGCAGGCAGAGGCGCTGCGGGCAGATGTGGTGAAGTGCCAGGCTGATGCCGCCACCAGGGACGGGTAGCAAAGAAGTCCCCGTCACCACCGCCCCACCCCCGTGTACCAGCGCCTCCCCGCCCCGCACAGTGGACATCAGTGTAGAACAGGACCTCAGGCCCTGGGCATGGCCCTCCTGGGCCCAGCTAGTACTTGCAACAAAAGGGGGTCCTCCTGTCCCCGCACAAGATGTGGCTGGGTCCCTAGGGCCAAGGCCACCTCCACGGCCAGGTTCCTCCGCGTGCTTCTCACGCAACCAGGCCCACGTTGAAGTGCACCCCGTGACCTTGTGTGTTGGCCGAGCAGGTCCCCTCCTGCGGGTCCCCTCCTGCGGCCACACCTGTGCCCACTGTCCCAGCTGAAGGGAAGGAAGCACGCAGTCCTGGGCCTCTGCTCCCTCCCCCGCCTCCTCGTCCCTGTCCCTCCACACCAGGGAGCCTCCAGCTGTCCCACAGTGTTCTGTGGAGTGCTGGGCCCTGCCGTGAGCTCCCTCTGGGCTGTCGCTCCATGCTGACCACTCCGGGCCCGCCGTCACCCCTTGTGGGGCAGGCTGTGACAGGCCCCTGTACGGATGCCCACTCAGGGAGCAGCTCTAGACCCCGACTCACCAGGCAGATGTCCAAAAGTCACATGAGAAGACCAGAGTGTGCACAGCCACCCCGGGCACAGGGAGGCCCTCGCTGTCACTGTGGGTGTGGACGGTGCCCAGCCATCCAGCAGAAGGGGCCAGAGTCCCAGCCTGTGTTTCCTGCCCCCTCCCAGTTGCTGGCCTGTGGGGACAGTCCCCCGGTGTCTCCCTGCTTCCGTCATGGTTGGTGGGACAAAGGAGCAAACTCTAGGCCACCGAGGATCCTGGGACTGGCGGGACTGTCCAAGGCCATGCGGGGCCCGTCTGTTCCCCAAGGGCCTCCCAAATGCTCTGGGGGGAGTCTTCCTCGTTTGTGCCCCCCAGGCTGGTTGATGGGCGGAGGGCAGGAGGCCGGGCTGCTCCAGGCTGGAGCAGAAGGCAGGGAGTGAGGACAGGGAAGGCCGCGGTCAGCCAGCCAGCCGCACCCCGCTGCCCCGACGCAGCAGCAGTGAGTCCTGGAGGGGCCCAGGGAGAGGGGAGCCTCCTTCCGAACCCCTGGGTGGACTGGCCCTGCAGAGAGTTCTCTCGTCCCAAAGCCTTCGCAAGCAGCAGAGTGACCCCAGCTGAGCCGCTGAGCACCGTCCGGAGACGGAGTGTTGGCAGTTTGAACATGGAGACCACAGCCGTGAGCAGAGACCTCCGTGTAGCTGCTCGTGACCTGTGACTGTCATCAAAGTGTCCAGTAGCTATTTTTCTTGGTTCAAAGCAGATCGGCCCCAGCAAGGGCCAAATAGTGACTTTTCAGCAGATCCAGTCACTGCTCCATTACTCCCAGAGTGATACGGTGGCCTCTGCACAGTGTTTATGTGGCACAGACCTGCGCAGTGACCTTCAGTTACTGGTGACAGGGTTGCATAGCAGCCTTGGAAGGTACATATACTAATGTCCCCTTTTCACAGATGAGGATGGTGAGGCTCAGAGAGGTTGAGTGGCTGGCCCAGAGTCACACAGCACAGACAGGTCTCAGCTCATCATCTGTCCCAAGTCCTCTGTCCTTCCTACACCTCCATGTGGTCTCCTCCAAGAGCCATCCACTTTGGCTTAAAGAGTACATAAAAATATTCCAGTTGCCAGAGAGAAAGAGAGAGTGTTTTTGTCATAAGGACCCTGGATCCAGAGGGCATGCTGACTTGCTCAGGGTCACCCTTAGCCCAGTGCATCACTGAAGACAGATGGAGCCACCACTGACCCGCCCCCTCTCAGGGCTTCCTCCCAAGCCCTTCCTCCCAAGCCCTTCCAGGCTGACCCACGCCCTGAGGAAGCCATCAGGCAGCTGAGACAGTGCCTTTCTCTGTGGCTGCCGAGATGGTGGCAGCAGCCAAGTGTCTCTGCTGAGGCTGGGAATGGGGACGTGAAGGCCAGCGGTGTCCCCAAGGGATGGCCCTGGCTCGGCCTCACCGATGTCTCCAGCACCTGGCTCCTTGTGAGGGTGCCCACCCGTGCCCTCCTGAGGCCCACCACTTCCTTAGGGTGGCCTCCGGGTTGCAGGAGGAGGCCAGGAACCACACAGAGCCTCCACCCTGGGCCTCAGAATGGGTTAGAAGGTGGAATTCAAAGAGGCGAGCCCCTCGTAGGCCGTAGGCGGTTCGTTGCAACTAGAAAGCCCAGGGGACAGGACTGTGGTGACAGCTGTGGACGGTGGTCTGGCTGGCTTTCACTCTCTGTTTTCCCCACAAGGGCTCAAGACTCCGAGCGGCTGTGAGCTGGTGGTGGGGGGCGAGCCCCAGTGCTGGGCCGAGGGCCGCTGCCTGCTCTTCGACGACTCCTTCCTGCACACCGCGTTCCACGAAGGTGGGTCCCCCCACGTCGTCGTTTTGTTTTTAACAGATTTTATTTTTTTGCCGCGTGCATGGGAAGCGCCCCTGGATCTCAGAAGGCAGCAGGTCCCTCTCCCTGTGGTCACTGTAAGTGGAAGACCTTCAGCTTGTATTTCCTTAGATTTCTTTTTTCTTTCTTCCTTTCAGTCATTTGCCTCTGAGATTCCCTTCTGGCCACCTAGTGCGTCCCTCGGGCTCTGTGACCAGAAAATGGTACCAGGGATTGAACTCAGGGCCCTCGACCACGGAGCCCCATCCCCAGCCCTGTTCTGTGTTTTATTTAGAGACAGGGTCTCACTGAGCTGCTTCGGGCCTCCCTTTTGCTGAGGCTGGCTTTGAACTCGTGATCCTCCTGCCTCAGCCTCCTGAACCACTGTGACAGGCAGGCACCAGAGCACCCTGGCAGATTTTAGTTCTTAAAGAAATTTTAGGGGGCTGGGGCTGGGGTTCAGTGATAGAGCACTGGCCTAGCAAGTGCGAGGCCCTGGGTTTGATCCTCAGCACCATATAAAAATAAATAAATAAAATAAAGGTATTGTGTCCAACTACAACTAAAAAATAAATATTAAAAAAAAAAAAAAAAGTTTTCGGTTTCCAGAAGAAAACTGAGCAGAAAGTACCAAACATGGTCCTTCGCATCCCGGCCCCCAGCTGCCCAGATCTGGACGCGTTATTACCTAAGTCCGAGCTCAGGTCTGGGCTTGCTCTCGGTGTGGCTTTGGACAGAGGGGACAGTGTTGTAGCCAGTGATTCCACTGCTTAAGAACAGCACCTGTCCCCGCCTGGCCAGCTGCCCTGCAGTCCACCTGCTCAGAGCCTCGTGAGCCTGGGGATCAGAGGAGGGAGGTGTTGTGAGCCAGGCCAGGGACAGCACAGGTCCCCAGCCCAGAGCATGCAGGGTCAGGTCCTGCCACACCTGGGTCCTGGCCACGGGCCACCAACCTCTCCTGTGTCCCCCTCCCCACAGGGTCGGCAGAGGATGGCCCCCGGGTGGTCTTCATGGTGGACTTGTGGCATCCGAACGTGGCGGCGGCCGAGCGGCAGGCCCTTGACTTCATCTTTGCTCCTGGGCGATGAGGACACTTCCCCGCTGGAGCGGCCAGGGGGGCCGGGGCACACCTGGGCGGACCCGGGACAGTGCGCCCGCCCGGCCACAGGCCACGCTCAGCACCTGCCTCCCGGGAAGCGCCCTGGGATCTTGGAGGGCGCGGTCCCTCTGCCGCGTGGTCACTGTAAATGGAGCCCTGCAGCTTGTGTTTCCTTAGGTTTCTTTTCTCCTCCTTCCTTCCAATTGTCGCTTCTGAGATTCCTTTCTGGCCAGCTAGCGCGTCCCCTGGGCCCGTGACCAGGGACGCGGTGCCTCTTTGAGTCCGTCTGTCGCGTCGCCCCTTGGTTTCTTCATGTTTTCAAACAGAGTAACCAAACGGCCACCGTCCGGCTGTCGGAGACGAAGCTGCTCGTGGTCACCTCTAGGCAAAGCAGACGCCAGCCAGCCAGCCACGCGGCCCCTTTGCTGGCACACGGAGGATCCTTCGGCCGCCCAGGGCAGGGGACAGTCTGAGGTCTCCGCTCCTGGCTGGCTCTGGTGGCAGGGAGCGGGCCTGCAGATCTCCCCAGGGGTGGCGTCCAGGGTCGGGGAACTGTGGCCACTGTCCTCTTGCCCAAAGCCGTCAGTTCCCTGCAGGGACCGGCCCTCCACTGGTGGCTTCCTCCAGAGCCAAGGCCGGGGTCCTCCAGAGCCGGGCCGGGCTCCCAGGCCAGCAGTGGCCACTCACCTCACTGCCCACAGATGCCCACTGCCAGGCCAGGCCGGGCACAGCCCCTCAGCGTCTGGAGTCCAGGGTGGTCCAGGGCAGGGCCAGGCTGCCTGGGGGGGAGGCTCGCCACCCGACTCCCAGCAGGGCTGTCCCCGATGATGGCAGTGCCAGCTCTGACCAAAGCGTCCCTTTTGACCTGGAGTCTGTTCCCGTGATTTTCTCCCTGTTTGTTCGCGAAGGTTCCAGCGGCCGCGGGGGGCCGCTGTGTGCCTTGCCGTCCCGCGAGGCTGCGTGCCCAACAAAGGTGACCGGGGCCAGCGTGGGTGAGGGCTCAGGGAGGCCTGCAGACCCCAATACCTAGGGCCACTGCACCAGCTGGGTGGCCTCCTGTGAAGACATGTCCGCCCGTAGGAGAGGCCCCGGTGAAACAGCTTCCCTTAGCTGAGAGCCGAGGGGAGCCACACGAGAGGGACCTTGTGGGGACAGTGTCCCGGGGCCAGTGGAGGTCCACGCAGCACAGCAGCAGGATGGGGCACACAGCTCTGGCGCTGGGCCTGTTGGTGTCCTAATATGAACCGAGGTCCCCAGGAGGGGCCGTGTGCGAGAAGCCGGGATCTGAAGCGCCGGGTGTCACTGGCTGTGTGTGAAGAGGACACGTCTGTGGCGGGCGAGGGGAACACAGGAGGCAGGGTTGTCACCCGGAGTCCCCGTGCCCGTCGCGTGTCTCGTCAGAGAATCGCCGAGGTGCATGACCCCACACGAGCCGACCTTCCTGCTCCAGTTTACAAACCAACAGCCACACGGACACCTGGCTGCCCGGCCCCCTGTCATGGTTGGGGACAGAGATAAATAAAGGATCTTGCTGAAAACCAGAGTGACGTGGTGATGTCGTCTGTGGGGAGGAAGAGGAGGCTGGCGTGAGCCCAAGGGACGGGTGCCCCGGGAATTTGTGCCCCTGGTTATTGAATCATGTCACAGAGGTGGGGGGACTGCCCCAGCGGGCGGACAGAGTGGCCGAAGCAACGGTCCTTCCAAGATCAGGGGTGGGGAAGCCCATCTCCAGAACGCCAAGAGCTACAGCTGTCACCTGGGCAGGGCACAGGGACGCTGGCTTCAGCCCAGCCGGGCATCAGGGCTGGGTGGCAGGAGGCACTCCCTGTCACCTGGCAAGTCACTTAACCCAGTCTGCCCCCTGGAGAGACAGTACCTGCCCTTAAAGGGCCAGCACTGGTTCCTCCCTGCAGTACCAAGGACACCTGGTAGAGAAATAGCCCGTGTGTCCTAAAGCGGGCAGCAGGGACTGGTGGCCAGGAGCCCCGGGAGCTGCCTGACCACCAGGTGTTCCGCACTCAAGCCCAGCTCCAGCCACAAGAGTCCCTGGGTGCCACAGCAAGCAGAAGGGAGGTGTGCCCGCCGCCTGGGGCCCTGGTGTTCTCACCTCCCATGTGTGTGCAGCCAGTTGCAGCTGCTAAGGTGACCTCCGTGTTTTGTGGGGACACCGGGGTGGGGAGGGGGCCTGGCTGCCCCTGCAGAGGGGACCCCACCTCCCAGGACAGCAGCAGCCTGGGAACGCCCTTCAGACCCTGCGGTCGGGCAGGACCAGCCCCTTGTCCACGCAAGGTCACCCAGGCCCCCCGACCCAGTGGGCCCTGAACTCTTCTCCCAGAGGTGCCTGTTTGTCATTCCCCAGAGTCACCTACATCCTCCGTGTTTGATGCCGCTGAGCAGACTAATGGCATCGAGTGCCTACAACATGGAGCAGGGGAGAGGCAGGGTGGCCCTGTGGCCTGGCTCTGGACGCTGCTGCACAGGAAGCCACCGGGAGCTTTGATTCACACTGGTGCCCCCCACCGCCCCGCGTGCCAGGGCACCTTCCCTGGGGGGGATACCAGGCTGCCCTGTGACTCGTTTCCTGTCGTGTTCTAACCTGCAGCTGGGGCTGAGGGGCTCTGCTCTGAGGGGCCAGGATGGGAAGGTCTTGGAAACAAGCTGGCTGGAGAGCGGCATCGGCTCTGTCCCCGTGTGGCCCTGGGCACCTGAACCCAGCTTCTAAAGGGACAGCTGTGTTTTTTTTTGAGGGGGAGGATACCAGGAATTGAACTCAGGGGCACTCGACCGCTGAGCCCCACCCCCAGCCCTATTTTGTATTTCATTTAGAGACAGGGTCTCACTGAGCTGCTCAGGGCCTCACCATTGCTGAGGCTGGTTTGAACTCTTGATCCTCCTGCCTCAGTCTCCTGAGCCACTGGGATGGCAGGCGTGCGCCACCGCACCTGGCTCCCTTTTTATTCTTAAGCCAAGCTTGAGTTATGGTTCCTATCCGTAGCCACCAAGACGTCCTCCTCCACTGCACGCCTCGCCTGTGGGGCCTGGCGCCTGCTCTCAGAGGCGCAGCGTGAGAACAACGATCAGGCAGGTTCTGGGAGGACAGGAGGGACTGCACGTGTGTGTGTTAGACACAAAGAGGAAGAGCCCAAGCCAAGTCCAAAGTGCTGTCCTCAAGACCATCTCGCCCGCTCTGCAGCCTTCCCTAACATTGGCCTCCTCGCTGACTTGCTGACAGATGTAAATGCAGGAACAGGACAGAATAAGGCCACATGTTACAGAGGTGCTGACAGAAGGCATGACAACCCCCAAGCAGACTATGGCATTAGGTGGCAGGAGAGGAGGATTGGGGACTTCTGCCTCCTTCCCAGGAGTCCTATCGGTCCTCTTCCCTGCCTCCCCGCCCTGCCTCCTGCTCCCCACGCCCCGTATTTGAACCACCCCAGGTTCATAGAGTGCTTTCTCCAAGCACAGAGAGCACGCCCCATGAGGGTCCTTCTGCATCGTGCCATTAGATCCTTGTGGCCCGGACAGGGACAGTCACACACCCTTAACACACGAGGAAGCCAGGCTCAGCATGAGCAGTCACTGTGAACAGGGCCCTGTGGCCGGCAGAAGCTGGAATGAGAAGCCAGTGATCCAAGCCTCTGTCCACAGGTTCCTCGTCAGATTCAACCGACCTGGGTCAAAACTATTCTGGAAAAAAATTGTACTGACTTCTTGTCATTGTTTAAACAACACAGGCCACGACCGTTCACCCACCATTGACACTGCGTTAGTTGTTGTAAGTTAGAGATGGCTTGAAGCACACAGGGGGCTGTGTGACCCCTGTGCCAGAAGTGACTTGCATGTCCCTGGGTTTTGGTATCCACTGGGGTCTTGGAACCAGTTACCCATGGAGACTGAGAGAGGGCTGCACACCAGGTTCTGGACGTCTGCCTGACACTGGGTGGGGGCGGTGGTCTGCCTTCTCAGGACACTCCTGACACTCCTCTGCTGAGGGTCCACAAGAAACCAAGCCCCTTGTTTTATCAAAGAGGACACCAAGGGTCAGAGAAATAAAGTGACCGACCCTGATTTCCACGGCAGTAAGGTGCGGAGCTGTGATTTGGACCCGGCTCTGGGACACCAAAGCCTGCGTGCTCCAGGAGGGACAGCCCCTGGCAGCAGCTCTGCAGACCTCGGGTGAAGGAAGCGCCTCCAATCTGTACCTGCCACCTGCCCACAGGGCTCTGGCCAGGACCCAGGCCTTTGCCTGGGAGTGCTCCTCCCAGCCACCAGGATGGCGGGACAGGGGGAAAGGGCTGCCTCTCGCCCTGCTTCTCTCTCAGGAGCCAGCGTCCCTTCTGCTGAAACCACACCAAGCCACCCCTGCTTAAAGTCTCCTCCTGGCCCAGACCTTGCAGGCCTGCATGGCCCTTCGTGGGGGCCACCTCTCCCACTCCCCGCACTGCCCTCTGGAAGGACAGGGTGCCTGGAATCACCAGCACCAGTATTGCATTTGCAGGCGGGTGTATTAGTTTCCTTGGCTGCTGTAACAAATGATCTCAGTATCTTAAAGCAAACGAGATTCATTGTCACGGTTCTGGAGGCTGGACATCCAAGATCGGTCTCACTGGACCTCATTCCACGTGTTCATAGTCACATATCCACCCTCTGCGGGCTCCAGGGTCCATTCCTTACCTTTCCCAGCCTCCAGTGGCTGTGGGCTTCCTGTCAACCTCCACCAAGAGAAACACCATCGAGGGTGACTTCAACAAGGATCCCAGTCTCGCTGGGCACCACGGTGCGCACCTGTAATCCCAGCAGCTTGGGAGGTTGAGGCAGAAGGATAAATTTTGAGGCCAGCCTCACAACTTAGCGAGGCCCTAAGGAACTTGCTGAAACCCTGTCTCTAAATAAAAAGTAAAAAGGGCCGGGGATGTGGCTCAGGGGTCAAGCACTCCTGGGTTCAATCCTGGTACAAACAAACAAACAAACAAAAAATCCCAGTCTCCTTTAGCTACCACACTGTCACTGTCACTGTGGTGGTGGCAGGAGCACTGGATGCCTAGATGCTTCCTCTGGGGGAAGAGGCAGCTTGACTAGGTGCCAGTGTTTCCCTAGGGAACAAAGGGCCTTTCCCAGTGGGAATCCGAGGCCACTATTAATCTCTCCCAGGAACTTGAGTCCCACAGTGCACAAGGGCAGGAACCCTGCAGGGACTGACCCCAACAGAGCCTCCTGCTCCCTCCCCTCCCATGGCTTCTGCAGGCTATACAGCAGCATTCTAGATTGTGAGGCCAGCGAAGCCAGCGTGGACCGTCCCACACAGGCCACCTGCCCCACTACCACGGGAGGGAGGGCGGACGGGCGGGCGGTGCTCCTGCTGCAGGAACATGCTGTGTGGCCCCCAGGGCCTCTGCTCAGGGGCGTCTCACTCATTTTGAGGGCGTGGGCCTGTGGCTGTCGCTCGGAGCCCCAGATGCCTGATACATTGGACAGGAAGCTGGGGGTTGGGCATTCTTTTTCCTGCCACTTCTAAGCCACTGTTACCTAGCCTTGGCGATAACGCTGCAGCTCCCTGACCTCTGGGGCTCTGGGCACAGGGAGGCTCCGTGGCTGCCTGTGCTGGGACCTCAACCCCAGGAGGGTGGGCTGCAGGGGCCTCTCCATACCCACAGGCCACCTGCCTGAGGCTCTGTTGGCAAAGGGGAGACAAAGGGTTACCACACAGGAGGCACCGTGGGCCCGTCTCATACTGTGGGCTTGACACCTGGGGGCCACTCCCAGGCTACTAAATCAGCACTGGTGTGAGGGGGTGCCCTTCCTTCCTGCTCCCACCCTTCCAGAAGGGGCACCCTAGGACCAGGGAAGGATTCTCCCCCAGCATCCCTTTGCCACGCCAGCCTGGCCCAGGGCTCCCGGCAGGCCACAGGCACCTGTCCCCAAGAAGCTGGGCACGGCGAGCCCAGTTAACTGGCAGCAGGAGACAGCTGGGCCTCTGGGAGCCACCCTGGGAGGAAGCCCACTCTGAGGAGGGTGGTGAGTGGAAAGCCACCAGGCAGGTCCCAGAGGGAGGCAAGGGGACCAGCTGGCCATCTGTACCAGCTCTGTCAGGGAACTGTGGAAGACGGGCGAGCTCACAATTTGTGGCTGTCCAGCCCGGGTCTGCGAGGAGGAACCGCAGGTAGCTGGGATCCCAACTGAAGCTCTGAGCCCAGGGTGATGAGCAGCGTGGCTAGGGGGCAGGGGGCGGTCCCTGCCCTACAACTGGAACCTGGACAGGTGTGTGGAGACAGGTGTGCATGAGTGTCCTTGTCCTGCTGTGCCACGTTACAACAGGGGCTTCAAGGGCCTGTATTACCCCTCCATTTCTGTGGGTCGGGACAGTGACTGGGTTGGCATTCTGGGGGCTCCACGGGGCTGGAGGATGTGCTTGCGGCAGGCTCACGGGGCAGCTGGCCCACTCAGGCACAGGCCTGCCTCAGGACGGCCCAGGGGGGCCTCTGCGGTCCTCGCACTTCAGCGCACCCTTTGTGGTCAGGACTCAGCTTTGGGGTG